CAATATCAACGCAGGAAAAATCACTCTTTATAACCTACGGAAAATGGCAGCCTTCCGTTACAGAAACGTCTCACGAGTCAGACAGCTCACACATGTCTATCCATTCCCAGTAGTAAGCAAATTATCATAGCACACCAATAAATTCTTACAGAGCGAGAGTTTATAAATTATTTTTTCTACACGCAGAAAGTGCTCATGTTTGGAAGGCATTTGAAAATATACGCAGTAACTGTGAATGGGAAAAAAATGGAAACCCTGTGAAACAGAACAGCGCCTGAAAGGCCCATTATTTAGAGCTAACTGGGGAAAAAACAACCTCTAACAACCCTTCTTGTGTGTGCTGGGGTTTTTTTGAACTGTCAGTGAGCACCGAGTCTGAACTTTCTGTATAAAACATTGCCAGAAGGGAGCCGTGTTCCCCTTGCACATTTACTAAAACACATAAAACACTGCCTTCGTTCTGATCTCACCCTGCGACCGCCGCCCCAGGTAAGCTCATACCCCGCAAACTCCTGGCTGATGCAATTCCACGTTCATTCAAAATGAATCCTGAGAAAGCACTCCCCATCCTGCAGGAACCACTATGTCCTTTCCAAAAAATCCTTCTCCCCCGCAGAGCTGCCGTGCACACAAGATGCCGATGGCCTCGGCAGCCGGCAATCGAGGCCGGGAGCTCCGAGCCGCCCGGGGAGAGGTTTAGCATGAAGCATGTTTCTTCCACTTCCCAGCTCAGCCCTCTGTGCTTGGGGAATTGGCGCAGGCTGTAAAATTGTGAAAAATCCCCCAGAAAAATCACCTCTGCCAAGGCTCTGAGCACCTGCTGAGACGCTGAGCAGGAGCTGCAGGGCTGCCGCTGCCACGTGGGACGCTGAGAAACAGCCACGTGGGTCATAGCCCCGCTACTGCTTACACTTTGCTCTGCTATTCTTATTGGTGTGGAAAAACCACCGTGATATTTATCTAGAGGAAACAGAAGGGAAAAGCAGCCCCTTTCACCTATTGCTTTCGTTAGTCCCAGGCTTACAGTCAGCTTCGCATCAACCAGCCTCCGTGCTAAGAAAATGCAGGGAGCGTGCTGTGACAACGGACTTGACCTCCATGCTGCTAACAAAACGCTCTCACCACTCCAGGCTTTCCAGGGCTGCTCTCTCGGACACGATGAGGCCAACCTGAGAAGCGGACGGCAGCGTGCAATGGCAGAGATCGCCCACGCAGGAGAGATGGCAGGGCTACACAGGCTAAGCAGGGAGCACCTCAGGACCCTTCTCGCGGCTTCGCGACCGCACGACCACAATGAAGATGTGCTTGCTACTTT